CTTAAAGGTCAAGGGTGACGGAGTTTACTATTTCATGAACCGGATCTGGACCCCAAAGTTCGGCGGGTACAGAGAGGTTGTCATGAATGAGGCTCACAAGACGAAATACTCCGTTCACCCAGGTTCAGATAAGATGTATCTGGATCTCAAACAGCTCTATTGGTGTCCAAACATGAAAACGGAGATTGCAACCTTCGTGGGCAAGTGCTTGACTTGCGCCAAGGTGAAGGTGGAATATCAGAAGCCCTCAGGTTTACTTCAGCAGCCAGAAATACCTGAGTGGAAGTGGGAAAGGATAACAATGGATTTTATCACTAAGTTACCTAGATCACCGAGTGGGCACGACGCCATCTGGGTAATTGTCGATCAGTTGACGAAGTCCGCCCACTTCCTGCCAATCAAAGAAAACTTCAAGATGGAGAGACTCACACGGATCTACATTCAAGATATAGTTCGCCTTCATGGGGTACCTGTATCCATTATCTCTGACCGAGATAGCAGGTTTACCTCGAGATTCTGGCAATCACTACAGAAGGCTCTTGGAACTAAATTGGATATGAGCACGGCTTATCATCCGTAGACTGATGGACAGAGTGAGAGAACAATTCAGACATTGGAAGATATGTTGAGAGCCTGCGTCATCGATTTCGGCGCGTCATGGGACACTCATCTTCCTTTGGTCGAATTTTCCTACAACAACAGCTACCATACCAGCATCAAGGCTGCGTCGTTTGAAGCCCTCTATGGCCGCAAGTGCAGATCCCCTCTGTGCTGGGCTGAAGTGGGTGACACGCAGCTAGTCAAGGGTCAAGTTCCCGACAGCACTCTCACTGGTCCTAAAATTATCCGAGAGACGACTAAAAAGATCGTTCAAATCCGAGAACGACTGAAAGCCTCACGAGATAGACAAAAGAACTACGCCGATAAGCGACGAAAACCCTTGGAATTCCAGGTCGGTGACCGCATCCTTTTGAAGGTCTCGCCCTGGAAAGACATGATACGTTTCGGAAAACGTGGAAAGCTAAACCCGAGGTACGTTGGACCATTCGAGATCCTTGCTAGGATCGGTCCCGTAGCATACAAACTCCAGTTACCATGAGAGCTCAGTAGCATCCATCCTGTCTTCCACGTGTCGAACCTAAAGAAGTGTATGTCCGATAAAGAGTAGCAGAAAAGTAATGATGGCACAAGCTGACAAAGATTTTTACCAATTCAAAATATTAGTTTGGATTTTGGAAGAACGTAAACTATGTTTTTTAGGTCAAAATATTAAAATAGTAGATTTGACCTAAATGTTAAAATATTCCCTATTTCAAGATTTCATATCAATTTTGGTCCTTTTTTCAATACTCTAGGGACCAAAACCGACATGAAACCTTGAAATGAAGACCAAAATTGAAAACACAATGAACTTTTTTGCAAATTAATCTTTTTTTCTTAATAATGATCCATTATGTTACCAAATCATATATTGATATAAAAAAGAAAGTACCTGATCTGTTATATGAAAATTTAAGAACAGGTTCACCTTCTCCAATATCCACATCAAACACTGATTTACAAGTTTTTGTGGTATTAGTAGAAAAGAATAAAAAACGAAGCATATGAAATAAAGTCAAAAGGCTCACCATAATCATATTATACTCCATCAAGAACTGGGCGCTTCATGTCATTGCCATCATCAGGCCCATCAGTTACTTCCCCTATCTAAAATAGGCAAAAGAAAATGCTAATTAATGAGAACAACTTATCATCAAACCTGATGATTAGAATCAAATCATTTGGTGCATCAAACATCATTCAGAATAATACCTTATCCCATGTTTGATTCTGCATATTCCATGCATATAAAACACCATTGTCTGTCGTATGTCCATCTTTGGTACCTGATCATCACATTTTGAATTAAAAAACTTTCTTCCTAAATCTTTTAAAGAACCGTTTTTCCAAGATTATTGCATTTGCAAACAAATCTCAAAGATGTTTTCGTTAAAAGAATGATAAAAGTGTATTACCAGGAGTGCCATGTAGCTTCTCTTCGGTTTGTGTAACTGGTTTGGATGCAATGCCAGTCAACCCCCTGACCAATTCTTATGATTGTCTTTTTTCATGGTTTCTTGAGAGAACTGGTTAGGTAAAGTTCCGGAATTTGAAGTCTGATTCAGGTTGAAATGGGTTTGGTAAATGTTTGGTTGAACAAGTGAAATGGGTTGTGAAGTTATTGGAAAAATTCCTTGTGAAACAGTAGATGTGTATCTTAGTTGACCAAATTGGAAAATAGGAGGTTGTGATTGGTGGTGTAGGTGGCCCATTGATGATCGAACAGGTGGATGGAGATGAAGAGGCATCTGTATGGATCTAATTTGTATGGCTGTAACAGGAGATGTTTAACTGGTAAATCTGTCTGAATCGGTATGGAAGGTAATTCATGTGTAGTGGCACTTCTCTAACTTCTCCAGGTTCATCATTCGCATCATGTTCAGGATTCTCATTTCCATCACCTCCAGTAGGTATAACAGAGGAATCATCCAGCTCATCATGAGAGAAATGTGTTGGGGAGCTAGAGGGACTTGAGACTGAAAGTGATGATTTTGAGTCACATCTTAGTGTGTCCTTCTTGTCTAATTTCTGTGCCATGATTTCTTGTTGGACATCAACAAGATCAGATTGTTCAAGCTTGTCTTGAACACCACCATAATTCCATCTGGTCGACCTAATTCAGTCCAAATGTCTTGTGGGGAAGCACCAAAAGGGATATGTTGTCCACCTACTGTGATAGGTATAGGCAACGATTTATAATAAGCAAACACCTAGCTACAAATAGTACATATATACATCTCACAATTAATTGAAAAATTCAAGAAAAATTCAAAATGATAAGAGAAATAAGGGGCATGGGCATAATACCTCATTAGTTTCTGAACCACATGCAACATATCTATCAGCAACATATAAACCAGCAAAATTCTGAGTAGACACAAAATCAAAAAGAAATGAGAAAATTAATCAGAATAATATTATCATTAAGAGAATGTAGTAAATGTAAATGTACATACCTTCTCATTAGTATGGGATTTTAAGGGAATGCTTGAATACTGATAATATAAAATCAAGAAATGAACCAATTTCAACCATAATGGCACATAATATTGGTCCAACCAAGGATTAATCTGCATCAAGGGAAAGAGACCAAAATATCAATGCACTCAGGTTTTGTATCTATATTGAAATCATTCTGCTTTAAGGCTCTATTTGTTTAAAGAAGAATAACCCTTTTACAGACGTGTCATTTACTCTTTAATAATTGATGTAAATCTTGAAAATCCACACATCCAATAATCTTTAGCTGTTGTTTCTTTAGGTCTGATGTCGATCCATCCAGTTCAGTTGAAAAGTCAACAAAAGATCTACCACAGAAAAGCCTACATCTTGGGCTTCATGCTACAAGCATGAAATCTATTTGTAACATTGGGAAAACAACTTGAAGAATCTTTGATTTTGTATGTTACACTTAAATTCATCATAGTAACATAACAATATTTCATGTTTACATATTCTCTCGTTTATTAAGCGACTCTGACAGAGTACTTGTGCTTGTTAGGCATAAGGAAAAGCTCAGTGAATTGGAGACCACAAAAGTCACTTACCGAAAAACAATAATAAGAATATCTTGATTTTCTCATTCAATGTATCACCCAACACCTTGGATTCTCAAAAGGCCGACTGGTTGGGAACCAATGACATGGTTTTTCGTCCAGGTTCTTGGGAGTCTAGCTGTAACAGAGATGTCAAGCCTCCTGTTGACAAAAACCTTCAAGGAGAGTTAAAAAAAGACAACGATGATGATAATTCCAAGAAAAAGTACCAAAAGAGCATGCTCGCAAGTATCAGATGGATGTTTTTGAACAAGCTGAAAACAAAAACACCATAGCCTTCTTAGAGACAGGGGCAGGGACGTGATATAATATGTGACATAGCTTCACCTCGAGGTCCTCCTCTACCTGATTTAATTCGATAGGATGTATTCAACAAGGAAATGACGAAGAATTAGTTGGATGGCGAGGAGGAAGGGCGGATATCGTTGTTCTTCCTGAACATGCCGATATAAAATCCCTAGTTCTTGGGTGCACACTTGTGAGGTCTAGAGCATAAAAGCCCTAGTTCTTCTTTGATATCGAGGACAAAAAACCTTAAACTCGCCGGCGTTTTGAGTGTGAGGATTCGTAGACTCCCAATCGCCGACTACATGAAAAATATTGTGAGGTCCGATTTTTGGGAAGGCGGGGTACTTGAATTTTTGGGGGATTTGGTTTCCCCCCTTAGTTGTATCAAAAAGGGGGCGCGCATATTAAAATTTTATAAAACGACATCTCTACACGACACCGTTTTAATTTAGGTGCCCTCCGTGTTTGTATTAAAATTTTATAAAACGACATCTCTACACGACACCCATTTAATTTAGGTGCCCTCCGTGTTTGTAATTTTTTTTCGTTGGACACTAATTTTAGGGCGCGCACAAATGCGTGTCCTCTATCCTTCAAATTTTGCAAAACTGACATTACTTTTTAGGGCACCCACAAATGCACGTCCTCTATCCGTGTGTGTCATTATTTGCGCGTCATTAAAGGGTTGTTTTCTAGTAGTGCCATGATGGTTATAAATGAGAATCAGTATTGATTCGTCTATTTGATAAATAATACACATTACACTACATATATTTCAATAGGGAAATTTATACAAAAGCACTTAAGTTTACAACAACATTTTTACCCTAACGTTTTTTTGGTGAAATTTCTTATGCAGGACATAATGTTTGATATTGAAGAAAATGATCATGCTATTGAATTTGGCATATGCAAGTTATCTTTTCTTTCAGCTTAAGAGTCTTGATCGAGTATTTAGATCCTGCTTTTATGTCTATAATTAAAGATCTTGATCAAAGGCATAAGGAACAATGGGAAAGAACTTCTTGAGCACAAAATGGATTTAATTTTGCTAAAATGTTAGGGTTTGGTGATCTTGGAGGCCCAAAGCTTTCTGCTGCTGAAGAATACTCACTTTATTCAAGATATCTTGCTAAAGCCAATTCTATTAATCTTTCTGAAATAGTAGAAACTGGTGATCTTTGCAAGTGAGTAATCTGTTCAAAATGATATATTGTCATATTGTTTGTGTTTATAGCTCTTTTTTTAGTTTTTGGTATTATCTGTTTTTATGTTATGTCATCTTTTTTAGGTATTGGGATTTGAGACAACAGAATCCAGTCCACACACAACTACCTGATCGTTGCTATGGACTTACAATGAGACATCCTTTGATGGTTGTTGCAACAGCAGATAGAAATCTTGTAGCATTCAACTTACAAAACCCTCAGGTAAACTGTTTTTATATCATTTTGAACAGATGCTAGGAAAAGCCAAAGCTTCAACCTGATGATTTTCAATAAAATAAGATCCCCAAATTAAGACACCACTTTAACAAAATACAAATGCAAGCAAACCGGATTTACAACCTACACCATTTCCAAAAGGACAGCCCAATAGATTATCAATATCCTAACTACTGACTGTAATTGCTCAAATATGCACTACATGATCTAAGACCATCTACCACAAACAAAATCACTTAAAAAACTTTTATAGATTTAATTTTATTTCCATTTCCTCCCTCAAGCATGATGTAATTTGGTGTATTTCATATAAGGATCATATATTGTGACAACCCGGGAAACTTCAATCATGTACAATTAATCAATTCAATCATTATTCAACTTGTTTTGTTGATTTCTGGCACTAATTAAGGGTGCATTTAAGTGTTCTAACCTTAAACTGGACCAAGGTTGAGATTAGGAATGAGTCGTCATGCCATATAGTGAGGAAACCAGGCCATACACGCCTCTTGGAGGAGTGTACGGCCGTACACATGGGTGTGCGGCCGCACACCCACTCCCTTGGCAGCACACTCACTTTTGGGCAGCACCCTTACCCCTATATAAAGGGTAGCCCCCTTCCTTTCATTCCTTTAGCACCTTGGCAGCACACAACATCATATCCTCTCAAGTTTCTCCAACTTTGAACCTTCCAAAGCTTCAAGAACGTGAGTACTTCTTCCTCTAGCTTGCAATCCATGAAAGACCACTCTATCTAAGCTCTAGGTGTGCAAAAACGACATGTTCTTCGTGTTTGGAAGTGAGTGCGGCCGCACACTCTCTTAGGGTGGCCGCACACCCATAGAACACTCTCCAAAGTGAGAGTTTAACTTCCATATTCGATGTAGACATGCCCCTAGCCTTGTCACACCTTGGAATGGATGATTTGGGCATCATTTTGACGGGTGTACGACCGCACACACCTGTGTACGGCCGCACACACCCTTGTGCGGCAGCACACCTAAGTGTGTGACCACACACTCTTATATGCGACCACACACTCATTCTCGGACCATAAACTCACTTCTAAGACCCTAAACTTGTACTACAACTAAGTATGGACCAAGAACACTTCATGAATTGCAAGTATGGACCTTGAAACCCCCCAAGAACACCTTCCATCATTGGTGTACGGCTGCACACCCCTTGGGCCGCACACACCTTAAAGGTGGCCATACACTCCCCTCATGCAATCCTTCAAGGTTCTAACACTTAGTGCAAGTAGTCCCAAGTTCCTAGAGTGGTTCTCCATCACATTTAGTGGTGAAATACCTTCATTTGACTCCTTTATGTGTCATTACATGTTAATTAGGATCAAATCGTGTTCAAGGCTTCACTTGAACATCCGACATTCCGTATCGATCTTTCATTCAAATCGCCCGAGGTGAGTTCATACCCCTACGTTTTTCCGAGTTTTTCATGTTTTCAGGGAGGGGGGGAATACAAGCAAAAGCATAAGGAAACTTGTGCTCAAAATATATTATTTTGTTTAAGATAATTATATTTTTAGTATGCTTTTAACAAGGAAAACAGTTTTAACAACCGATTAAGAAATCAACTCGTAGAAACAGTTTTCAAAACTAGAACAATGAACTTGTGAATCATGTAGTAAAATGTATTATTTTAAACAGGATTTTCAGAATCTGTGTCGTAAAAGTATATAAGTATACCCGAGTATCAGAATCTGTGTCGTAAGTAGAACAAAACAAAAGTATTTGGATGTTGGACACTGCGGTTAAACCTGGCCAGTTATGTAATCATGTCTAGGGTCAATATAGCCTGATCAACTATATTCATTCGATACATGACCAACATGTGCTTGGGAGTGACTATGGTGTTGCAGCAAGCCTAAAAACTTACCAAAATCAATCCACATAAAGCATAAGGAAACTTGTGCTCAAAATACCCCTACGTTTTTCCGAGGTGAGTTCATACCCCTACGTTTTTCCAAGTTTTTCATGTTTTCAGGGGGGGGGGAATACAAGCAAAAGCATAAGGAAACTTGTGCTCAAAATATATTATTTTGTTTAAGATAATTATATTTTCAGTATGCTTTTAACAAGGAAAACAGTTTTAACAACCGATTAAGAAATCAACTCGTAGAAACAGTTTTCAAAACTAGAACAATGAACTTGTGAATCATGTAGTAAAATGTATTATTTTAAACAGGATTTTCAGTATTATTACTTGTAAATTGTTAGTCTAAGTTGGAGACACGTCCTTGGTAACACTCCCACAGAATCAGAGTGTAGGACTAGCACTTATGACCATAATCTCTTGTAGGGAGAGCGTGACTGTTGTGTATAGATCTATACGGGACTGACTATCCCGCACCTCGCTGCTAGCTACAGTGGGACCGGCAGGTCTACAGGTGACAAAGTCATAAAGGATACTGGCCCCCATACGTGCCTTATCAAGTTAATGTATGGTTATAAAACTCACAATCTAGATAGCAGAGATTTACTTTTGTAATAATGAATCCAGTGAACTAACCTCAAAGTAATAACCGATAGATTACTGGAGGGTATTAATAATAATATCTTCAGGACTTAGTTCATTACGGTTTTCTTTTATTTAGTTTTATTTATGTAAAAAGGCTAATATACCTCTCTGGGTGTAACCAGGTTTCTTAAAAGAAAACTGTTTTTCGAGTACGGTAGATACTTGCACACCTCAGTTTAGAACGGATAACCAATCATCAACCTTTAGGGAAGATATAGGATTTTCCCGGGATAACCCGGCTATACAAAAACTGATTGTTTAACATGTAATCAATGGATATTCATATCCCTTCCACGACACCTTGGATTGTACATACCGTGTATGAATCTGGAAGTCATGGAAGGAATGGGTTTTCAAACACGCTTTTCATAAGAAAATATAGGATTTTCTTGAGGAACACTTTTCAAAGGGATTCAAGAACATTTTTCCACCAAAACTAAATGCTTATGAACTCACCATCTTTATGTTGATATTCTTTCAAAACTGCTTGTATTCTCAGGGAATCAGTAGACAGGTACTTCTCGGATTAGAGGAGCCATAGCAATAAGAGTCATGTTCTCTATATTTTACATACTTTTGATGTATTTAAAACAAGTTCCAAACCGATGTAAACACTTTTCATTTTTGTATTCAGTGTTTGGTTGTGTTTACTATGCTTGTTATACAAATGTTGTGATACTTGACATGACGTCCTCCACCCCAGAACGTTTCCGCCGCTTCGGTTTCGGGGTGTGACATATATGCATAGAGTGGTACAGTTCACTGGTCAAAAAAGTATTCATTGGTATTTGATGTTGTTTAGACACCTAAAATTACCAGATTACTTAGGGAAGCAGGAGAATGTGGAGCCAAAATTGTTACAGGGGTAGAAATGTTTATAGGGCAAGCTTAAGAACAATATGAAAGATTTACAGGTTTACCAGGTAAGATTTTTAAAATTTTAAATTATATGATATTTCATACTTTTCCTTTTCCTTTTCCATTTTTATTATTAATTATACTTTGCAACTGAAGCACCTAAGGAGTTATTTAGTGAGATTATGGTAAAGTATTGATTGTTGCGGGCCATTCACTTTGGTATGTACCTCCTTGTATTAGACATTAAGGGTAATGTTTGCACATTATCTATCTCAATATATACATATTTCAAAAATTTCTCACTTGCAAACATATATCTTTTTCCTTTTTTTATTGTAACAGGTTCTTCCTATCATGATTGATGTTGGAACCAACAATGACAACCTTCTAGAAAATCCCTTGTGTAACTTTGTTTCTTCTCTTCTAGATTTTTTTGGAACCTTATTAAGTAAATTACATGTGATTCACATGTAAATCACATATGAATCACATGTGATACACATGTAATTAACATATGAATTACATGTAAATCACATGTTATTCACATATAAATCACATGTTATTCACATGTAAATCACATGTTATTCACATATGAATCACATGTAAATCATATATGAATTAGATGTGATTCACATGTAAATCATATGTTATTCACATATGAATCAGATGTAATTCATATATGAATTAGATGTGATTCACATGTAATTCACATATGAATTAGATGTGATTCACATGTAAATCACATATGAATTACATGTGATTCACATGTAAATCACATATGTATTTTTATGAGTATTTTTGCATCAACCGATTTTTTTTTCTTGTAGATTTGAAAGAAATTGTGGTGAATGTTGAAGAGGTGAAAAATGATAAATTGAAGAAAATATTGAAATATTGAAACGAAAACATGAAAAACGCTTTGAAATTTCTAGCATTTTTTATTTTTTTATATTCAAAAATTCATGTTTTCTATAAAAAAAATTAAAAAATCTGCATTTAAAAAAAAACTTAAAAATACTATCTTTAAAAAAATATGAAAATTTGAATTATGATGTAAATTTTTAGACATTTATATTAATATGTTAAATAACACAAAAAAAATTAAACATTAAATGAGATTGCTAAGATGACGATCATGTCCTTAATGAATTACTTTTGATCCAACGTTCCACTTTTAGTTCTCGGGTTCTCGGGAAACTATGAGTTTTTAACCGATCTCAACCCTATATATATATATATATATATATATATATATATATATATATATATATATATATATATATATATATATATATATGTAGGGAAAAGTTCAATAGAGAACCATTATTAATCAAGGAACCAAGGAACCAATCCAAAGCGTCAGAATTTAAAGCGATCAACGGCAAAAGTAAGGGTTGTAAACTTTTATAATGGACGGACATGTACCGGATTATAACAAAACTCACTTCCTTTTATTCATTTAAAAAATTTTTTAGGCCAAGTTTTTTATCGAAAAAAAAACCGAATATACCGTTGTTCACGATTTTTCGTCCTCATTCTATAGAGATCCATGATGATATATATAAAAAACGAAATTTTTTTTTTGAAAAAAACCCACTTAATTTTCTTAGTTTTTTCAATATTTAACTTTATTTTTATAAAAAAAACTACTATATACCAAAAAATATTAATTTTTTGTACTCTATTAATAAACATCAACACCGATTAAAAAAAAACATCGAACCGTTTAGATTCACACTGTGAATCTAAACTGTAAATGTTTCAATTTTTAACATTCATAGTATGAAAAATCTCTGTGAATCTGAATTACTATTATGCACACTGTGAATCTGAGAAGGTTCACAAAAAAAAAAAAAAAAAAAAAAAAAAACCTCGATCAGTATAGATTCACACTGTGAATCTAAACTGTAAATATTTCAAATTTTAACATTCACAATGTGAAAAAACTCCGATCAGTTCAGATTCACACTGTGAATCTGACTTATTATTATGCACAATGTGAATCTGAGGAGGTTCACAATATGAATCTGAACAGATTTACAATATGAATCTGAACTGAAATATCGCTTTTTTTTTAACATAAATATGAATCTATGTTTAAAAAGTAAAAAAAATATGAATTTTGATATATTTATTATTTTTTTTTCTATAAAAAAATAGAACTTAACTTTTTTTATCAAAGAAAATGAAGTGGGTTTTTTTCGAAAAAAAAAAGTTTGTTTTTTATATATCATCATTGATCCATATGGAAAGAGGACGAAAAATCGTGAACAACGGTATATTCGGTTTTTTTTTCAATAAAAAATATGTTCTAAAAAAAATTTTAAACGAAAAAAAGTGGTGGGTTTTTTTTGTAAAGGATAGATTTTTTTGGTATAATCCGGTGTGTGTGCGTACAATATAAAAGTGTACATATATTTCCTTGGCCGTTGATCGTTATGATTTCCGACGCTCACGATTGGTTCATTGGTTCCTTGGTTAATTATGGTTCTCTATTGAACCTCAACCTATATATATATATATATATATATATATATATATGTGTGTGTGTGTGTGTGAGAGTATTAATCCATCCATGTTGAGTCAAGTTGGTACAAAAGGAGCAGCTTAAGCTATAACTACAAGCATGTGATCAATCAAGGAATGATTGTGTGAGAAATTACATAAGCTTTGCTGACCAATGATGTAGGTCTTAAATCCACAAAGGAATCCATTATCTGTTTGGTACCTAATCCAGCTTATTTTCGAATGAACAGAGCATTACTCATATGGTTCAAGAATCAGGATCTAGACTCGGCACTAGCAAAACCCAAACTTTGATTCAAAGAAAATAACACCCCAATGTCTTACAATCTGGCGTCGACAGATCCGCAAGTTTTGAACAAAAGAACATTGAAGCTTGTTGATTTTGAGTCTTTAGCTTACAATTATGGAGCAGATAACATCATTAAAAAAAGAATCAAATGTAAAAAGTGGTGTTTATGAATTGGAAAAATATAAAAGGATTAAGGAAGCAAATTTCGAGGATTGAAGAATTTCCCAATTTGATATATAAAATTAAACAGACGTAACTGAAATAAAAAAGAAATTTCAATCATCTATTATATGTTGCATTTTCTCTTCGTCGGGGGCCAACAAACAATCATTGCAGTGGAGAAGTAGTAATATAAGAGAAGCCCAGTTCGAAATTTCCGAAAGGTTAACCAGCAAAACAAAACCCACAAAAGAGCAAACAAAAATATTTAAATAATAAATTGCAAGATTCACGTACACTAGTGGTTCTTAAGGTTTTGAAAATGTTGCCCAGATAAGAAGCGATCACTCATCTAAGACATTAACACTTAAACAATCATGGGGGAAATACCACATCCATTCATAAAAGAACATGCACTGTTGACTTTTATTGTCATCAAGAAAGTAACCACAGCCCCTGTATGGTGTCTGAGTTTCAGGCCATGACTCCGGTTTAATAGCAACACAAGAAGTGAACCTGCTAAGAAAGAAAGCATATTCTCCTGTTATGTTTTCCGCCGCGACCCATTTCATTTCACCAAAATTTAATTCCAAAAGCTTTTCTGGTGATGATTCAGACCGATATATCATATAAAGCTTTTCTCCCCAACTTACAAACTCTGGTCGAAACGTGCTTCGCTTCGGATAATTTTTGGTTTCGAGTAAAGTCCATTTGAGATTTTGATTATGATCGAGTGTGAGTTCACATAAAGAAAAATCAATGTGTATGCTATATATCTTCCCCTTTAAAACATGTAAATCAAGGATATAGGGAGTGGGGCTAGCGGAGGAGATATGATTCCATCCTTGTTTATCCACAATAGAAAAAGATACCATTTGTGTACGTAAGACAACAAACACCCGCCCAGATATTGAAGGTGAAAAGACAAGGATACCCCTGATAGCCGTCATTCCTTTTTCATGAGCACCTACACTTAAGGGGTAATCGGGGAAATGAAGTTCATCTCTTGTGATAGGATTCACTAGCCAGAAGTCGCGGGTTTCCTTATCAAATAAGATAAAGTAACCACAAGTTGATCCAAAATAGGTCCTGCCAAAAGAATGGGGAATAATGGTTTTAAATCTTCTTTCTTTGAAGTCCTCAACGAAATAATAGGAGTCTTCCTTATTAATGTGGGGCCCGATGCTTATCTTCATGGGTGGTTTGGATGCCATAAACTTGTTTCTGTTAGAGAATGCAAATGACCTCCATGACTTGCAAACTCCACTGAATGCAACAAAATCAACAACTCCCAGTTTTATCATAACTAAAAAAAGCAGATCAAGGTTAACATCTAACCAAGATGCCACACCATCGTTGCAAAAGGTCTTGAACTTCTTTCTGCTAGATGATGACGATGATGATGCATCATCATCATCATTTCTTGTAACACTCATTGTCTTGGCCATTCCTAAATTTGCAAAAGGAAAGTAAAAACCACATAAGATTCAAGAGTTGTAAATTGGGCACAAGCTTGCACATACAAACAGATAATTGCCTTCTCGATGTATTGGACAAATTTTTTTCGAAAACTATATAAAATTTTGAGGTATGTAAAGGAGTCTCCTTAAAGAGGAATGTCGTACAAGACAAAGGACTTACAAATTTAATTTGATGTAAGGGAAACCCTTGTTGGAGATAAGGATAAAGTTCCAATGATTCAAAAGAAGAAGATAAATAACAAACTTTGACTTATATTATTGATATATAAGAAATGTATTTCAACAGATACAAACTGATACATATGACCCCTTTTTATAGTATGACAACAGGGGGTGATATCAAACCAAACATTACAATGTTTCACACAACCATCACAATGGTTTATGAAACGTTAACATAACTGCCATATTTAACATTAACTAACTAACACATACTAACAGATACTAACCTTTTAACATAAATTAACTAATAATCTAGATTAATTCCTAACATACCCCCTTAATCTAGATTATTTCTTGAAACATCCATCATCTTGAAGTTTTGATCTTCAAGCATCATCATTCATCATCCATCACCTTGTTTCTTTTCACAAGGACATCATCATCATCATCGTGCCATGCATCATCTACTAAGGCTTCAAGATCCTCAAGTGCCATAAAAACAGTATCTCCTTCTTTTGTTTCTTTTCCATAATTGAAGTTTGCATCTGCACTCTCATCCTCTTTCTTTTTCTTGCAATATTTCATAATATGTCCATATCTGTGAGAGTAATAACATTGAGTTTCAGATAATGACTTTACATGTTCTTTCCTTTTTGCACCCGTAGAAACTTGAAATGCTTTTTCAGAAGGAACGTCATCAAAGAGTCGCATTCTATATTCATGAGATTGCAAACTCCCCAACAACCTTTCTAAGGATAATGTTGAGATATCCTTAGATTCCTCGATGGCAACCACCACATATTCAAACTTTCTTGTGAGGCTACGCAGGATTTTCTCAATTACTCTTCTATCTTCAATAACATCTCCATTGATTCTCATTTGATTGACCAGTGTAATCAAACGATTATAGAATTTTTCAACAGATTCTCCTTCTTTCATCTTCAATCCATCAAATTCACATCTAAGTGTTTGCAGCCTTACGATTTTGACTCGATCCTCCCCTATGTATGATGTATAAAGCATGTCCCAAGCTTCTTTTGATGATTTTGTCAAGGAGATTCTTTCAAAAATTGCCTCATCCACTGCCTGATATATAAGATAAAGTGCTTTCTTATCTTTCTTCTTCATCACTGGTTCCTCAATCTCTTCCTCCACAACATCCCAAAGATCTTGTGACTGAAACAATACTCTCATTTGAATGCTCCAGTGGTAGTAATTTTTCCCATTTAATTTTGGAAGAAGGAGGGGTTGATAATTGTTTCCGACGTGCGCCATTTATTGGCTCTGATACCACTTTGTTGGAGATAAGGATAAAGTTCCAATGATTCAAAAGAAGAAGATAAATAACAAACTTTGACTTATATTATTGATATATACGAAATGTATTTCAACAGATACAAACTGATACATATGACCCCTTTTTATAGTATGACAACAGGGGGTGATATCAAACCAAACATTACAATGTTTCACACAACCATCACAATGGTTTATGAAACGTTAACATAACTGCCATATTTAACATTAACTAACTAACACATACTAACAGATACTAACCTTTTAACATAAATTAACTAATAATCTAGATTAATTCCTAACAACCCTAAGCTCAACTTCTAGCGTTATTTATGGGACAAACTTAACTTTGCAAGAATGTGAAAGCAAAGTTTAAACCTGGGATGTGTCATTTATAAATGGATTAGGATGTGAATGGATAACCAAAGATATCAAACTCTTTATGAATGATGGTGTATTGTGACAATGCAACAATTTTGGTTATTAACAATTCAATGCTTCGTGAAACTGGTGCATCATTAGCGAGACTTCTGTAATCATGTCCTATAATGAATAGAAATTTATACAAGTTATCGTTCCACCTAGTTTTTGTTACGCTTATTACAACACAACGATATCAAATATACTCCTTTTAATCAAATAAGTTTCTTTTTTAGACATTCAAAAGTAAATTTCACTTGGGCATTTCATTAAACGGTTCATGTGCGTAAAAGCACAAACATGTTGAAAAGATATATAATGATAGAGACAAAGTCTGAAGAAAAATGACAAAACACATACCTGCAACTAAGTATTACTAGAACCGATTTTTCAACCACCGTTCTTCAATAAAGATTCTTGACCAATAACTCTCCTCGCGATTTTAAACAACTAATCTTAATAATTGCAATTCGTAATGGATAATTACTGAGGATCGACGTTCAAGCGTGTTTGACGGAGTTGAGCCGAACTCATAAAAACAAAAGTCGGGATAATTAAACAGTTTTCGGATATATCTTGCCCATTAAGATATTGTAGACAAAACTGCACAAATGGTCGCTGTGGTTAGCTGAAAATTGTCATTTTAATCCAAAAAGGTTGGACTAGCACTAAAGGTCCAAACTTTTCATTTTGTTGCGAGTTTGGTCCAGTTTTCTATAAACTTTTTCATAATGACTATTTTACCCTTGGTATTTTCTTTTTCTATATTTTTATTTATTTAAATGTTTTTTCTGATTAAAAGAAAAATAAAAAAGACTCTCTCTCTCTCTCTCTCTCTCTCTCTCTCTCTCTCTCTCTCTCTCTCTCTCTCTCTCTCTCTCTTAATACTCAACAATCCAAACACCCCACCATCGATTAAAGCTGTTGCTTCCTCCTTCCGTCGTCCCCATCTCTGTTCACCTCCTTTCTCGTCCCCATCTCCGTTCACCTCCATCACCGGTGTCACCTTTCACTCTCTCCACTCGTTGTTCACAACCGAAGAAGAGGAAGGAAAAGGCAAAGCTGCCACCGATCGATGTTGTTGTCGTGTGTTCAATCACCATCGGCTGCCATCGTCGCCTCCCACTGTTGTTGGGGAAGTTCCAACGGCCACCACTAGTACCTTGTTGTTGTTTCCAATCACAAACAACCCCTTACTCCTCCTTCCTCTCCCTCTCGTTTGCTACTGGAAGAAAAGAAACGGGGCAGCTCTTAGCCACCGCTACAATCACCAAACACCCATTGCCTTATCGCCGCCATTAACTCCGATCACCACCACCTGCTGCTATGTTTGATCCACCCTCCTACCATCGCCATGTTTTCTCTCCCTAACTCGTGTGTTCACCCGACCTGCTATGCTATTTTCGATCTGCTTCACCCTCCCCTGTTCTTCGTGTTTTCTACCAGACATAAGAGAGACAACCTAGATCGATGACTGATGTTGCTGCTTTTCTTCGATTGGGTCTTCGTCTTATCATGGATCTGGAAACTGGGTCTCGTCAAAATCATCTAAGGGTAAGATAGTATGTTTATATGCTACAATTTGTTGATTTAGGGGTTCTTCGAATACACCCATTTGAGTTTTTGTGTTCTTTTCTTCTTTTGATTTTTACAGAAACAGTCATGGAGGGCAGTTTTGACATTGGCGTATCAAAGTTTGGAGGCTCTTATGATGTTTGAGTGCGGTCATAGGAGGTGGGTTTGATTGAATTCACTGTTATGATGTTTCTTTGTTGTTGTATGTGTTTGAGGACGAGAACGACGAAGATGATGGTGGAGAACGATGCCATGACCAGACCCGTTGATGAACAGAACTGGGTCGGGTACTGGAACTTGGGTTCGATCGACTGAGAAATACAAACGATTGGTGCTTTGAGGTGGCTTGATTTGAACTAGGACATCGTTTGATTTTTTCAGATAGAAGCAAAATGAGATCATCAAGGATCCTCCTGATCTCTAGTATAATCACAAATTAGGTTTGAGTGTTTGTGACAACACAGTAAAGTAAGAGAGAGAGAGAGAGAGAGAGAGAGAGATTTATTTATTTTTATTTTTTATTTTTTATTTTTTTAAATCTGAAAAAACAATTAAGAAAAAAAAGAAAATCATATTAACAGGGGCAAATCCGTCATTTTGAACAAAATGAGAACAGATTGGACTAAACAAGCAACAAAATGAAAACTTTGGACCTCTGGTGCTAGTCCTAACATTTTTGGACCAAAGTGCAGTTTAGTCTATATTGTATAAGCCCATTACTAATAAAAGTTCCTACAGAATTATAAACCCTAAGCAGAGCAATCAATCGTGAAACTCTTTACAGACCCTCATGAGCAGGCTCTTTGTTGAAGAATCGTTGTTCATAATCGATTAAAAATCCATACTCTTTAGCAATTTTAATTAACAAATATGTTTGGGTTTCGATCTCTTCAATTATTCGTCTTTGTCGAATCCCAACTCTTTTGTAGTTTACCTGCATACGAGTTGATTTTTCATTATATGTTTGTATTTTGCATGCATATTAAGTGTTCTATGAATTGCCTAAATAAAACCCTCTTTTTATAGAGGGAAAATGACTTGCGAGGGTAAATGACTTGAGAGGGTAATTACCTTTTCGTCTAGTTCACGTTTTAGGTAACTTAATTTTTTTTGTACACTTGATCATTTAACTTGTTAAATGTATTCACATGACACATATTACCATTGTCACTAATGGAAATATGTGAAACTTTTAAAAAGTTAAATGGTCAAATGTGTACAAAAAAAGATATTTGTCTAAATTTTTTTTTTTTACAAATTTCTTAAGATTTTTTTTTTTATAAATTCTTACTATATTTTTATGATATTTTTTTTCCTATAGGTTTTTCTAATACAATGTTTTAAACATTGCTTATAATTTTTTTTAACTTTTTTTTTTATACTTTCGTATAATTCTAATACAAGTGTTTTTAAACCAAATCTTATAAATGTTTTAAATTTTTCTTACAAGTTTTTAACTTTCTTTTTCTTTTTTTACTATTTTTTTATAACTTTCATACATTTATTTTAAACTTTCTCTTATAATATTTTAAAAGTGTTTCACAAATTTTATATGACAAATTAATATTTTTTTATAACATTTTAAAATACTTTCGTTAAATACTAGTTTAAAACGTTGTATTAAAAAATTAAATTTTTTTAAACTTCTAATTAAAAAGTTGGAATAATTTTAAAACATTTACATTATATATATATATATATATATATATATATATATATATATATATATATATATATATATATTTGGTAAGTAATATTTATTATTTTTTTTTTAAAAGACCCTCCATACTTATTGTTACATATTTAATTTATTTAATTTTATTTTTAGATATTATTTACTTTAAAAATATTGTATATGCTTAAAAACAAAAGAAAAAATTTATAAGAGGCTATATAAAATATTTCACAAAACAAAAACATATTTATTAATTAAAAGTAAAGTTTAAAATTGATCAATAGTTAATTAATATTTAGGAAATTATAGATATTTTAAAAATAGCGTTTGAAAAAAATAATACAAACAAATATGAAAAATAAAATCGCTATTAAAAATGGGGAAAATGACTTATCAGGTTAATTAACTTTTCGTTTTGTTCACATTTAGACAACTTTCTTTTTTTGTACACATTTAACCATTTAACTTATTAATTTGTTCACATATTACCATTGTCACCTGATATAGCCGGTGACAATGGCAAGATGTGAACATATATAACAAGTTAAATGGTCAAAGGTGTACAAAATAAAGAAGTTACCTAAATGTAAACAAAGCGATAAAGATGATTACCCTGATAAATCATTTTTGTTTTTATAAAAGAACGATTTTTTACAACAATATGGTTTTTGATTAATAAAACTTAGTTATCAACGTACAACGAATGAGAAGGGAAACAGGCAGCAAGTTGCGCCGCTAAGCCTTT